AGGCAGTCAGGAGGCAGGCCAGTAGTACATAGGGAGTTCCCATGCACTTCACGGGTAGTCAGAGGCCGAGGCAGTAGTAGTCTTCAGGATTTCGGTAGCAGCACTCTGGAGGAGCGCTGCAGGAGTAGCTTAGCGCTAGCAGTAGTCTTCAGCGCTGGGCGCTAGTAGCTGCAGGAGTAGTCTTCAGCGCAGGGCGCTAGTAGTAGTGTTGGAGAGAGATGGCTGGTGGAGGCCAGTGGGACTTACCTGTGGCGCCATAGCTCCAGCTCCATCTTCGAGGTACCTGCATCAAGGCGCCAGCTTCACAGGTTAGTACCGGACAGAGAGAGAGAGAGAGAGAGAGTTCTTCTTCTTCCTCTTCTGAGTCCACCATCTCGTCTTCACCCTCTCACTACCTGACTTCTCAGTATTAGCGGACTACAACAGAGAGAGAGAGAGAGAGTTGTGACTTAAGACTTGACGACATTGGATCCAGACTCGACATTGGGATTCAGACATTTTGATGAGGGACTATTTGGGCTTGTGCCGAAGACTCGGTGTTGACGACATTCCCATCTTCCCCTCTTCTTCGTCTAACCCACCTCTTCTTCGTCTGTGTATGGTTCGGGACTGGCGCATTCTTCCTGTGTGAGCGCCAGGGCCCTTCACACCATGGAGTGATGATGATGATGTTTGTTCGGGGCTGCATTGGAATATTGATTGTTCGGATCATTGGTATCTAAGTCTTCCGCTACGCTATCCTGTACTTTGTGAGAGAGGTCGGTTCTTGTTCTGGTCTGCACCTTTACGGTATGCAACGCATATAGAGCCCTAGGGAATTCCAAGGGAGGGAGAGATGTATAACCACGCCCACAGAATATATGAGCGGCACAAAGTCGAGCGTAGCACACTCCCCACACCACTCAAGGCATGGGTGACCCTGTGTCACTGTTCCTATGCTTGGAGTTCAACCACGCTGGACCTGGTTTCCAGCAGGTGCTGCTCCCCACCAATAGATGGACCAGCCTGACAGATAAACCCTCAATCCTGACGGTTCTCTTACCACCGCCGGGATAGAGGGTTTACATAATGGGCTATTCGTTTACAAAAAAAAAAAAAAAAAAAAAAGAGGTTACCCTCTCATCCTCAGTAACCAAAACACTGTGAAGAGCCTTTGTTGCCTAGACGGGTTTCCCACCACGCACCCAATGGATACAACTCTAGTTTGCTCTTCATCGGGTCTCTCATATCATCCCGACCCTATGAGTATCACCCTAAACCACTGCAAACATACCCCAGCGCTTAAGAACATCGAGAATCTGTGAATGGACATATACTTCTGGAGAATTACAACATCAAGCACAAAACCCAAGTCCTAGCCTCGACGCGAAGCGACAAACCAAGACCATCAATCACGCGAGGGAAGTGCTTACTTAACTAGTGAGCGCCGATGCCCAGGGCGAGGAGGTCACACTGCACAACCCTATCAAGCTCTGAAACGCACCGCAGGTGACCAATCAATATAACGCTGTCACTGCGAACGTGCACACTGGAGAAACACACGGTCGAGGAGTCGAAGAATTGGATTATGTGACATCAGTGTAATAGCAAAAAACATCCGAGACACATTCCACATAACCGACAGAGAACTAACTACGGAACAAACAAAAGGAAAACCGCACAAACTGACAGACAACAAAACCGACCAGACAGCGTAAAGTGACATAAGCATGATAATAGTCGAAGCAACAAACCAACAGAGACAGCCCAACTAACCGACAGAGTAACTAGAGCGAGACAAGCAGGCAAAGAGAGAAAACCGAACAGACGGACAGACACACCCTAAGCAAAACGATACAAAGTTACAAACCTATACAAACCGTGATAACTAGAGTTAACAAACGCAAAACGGATACGACTGGAGTCTAACAATATACACAAAACTTCCTGATTGATCTATCTATCTACACAGGACGTTGTATACCTCGGACAGCAAACATCAAGAGCCTGAACTCAACCCCGCGCGTTGTGTAGATGTTTCCAAAGATATCTCAATCATACATAAGAGCTCAATATCAACGGACAAAAACCTTCTAACTACATCAAACCGAAAACTACACAGATTGTGGAAGACAAAGCAACAACCAGATTAATTAAAAACAGAACATGAGGTGAATGAACTTCAGACTGCCTTGCAACGTAGATAGATCAGATGAGACTTGCTGTAGCCCTTGGACATGCCGGAGCGTTGCCACCGCAGCCGCACGCTCTCCCACTGCGTCCAGATGCGCCGCTCCGCGTTCCATGCTTTTCCTAGTGGTCGAGGCAGTCGGGATGGCGTGCCATGAGATACAGCGCACGGCCTTTGGATGGTGAGAAAGGAGCCACCCCTTTCCAGCAGAGGGCTTGAGGGGAGGACGGCTCCTCTGATATCGAGATCCTGTTAGGTATGACAGTTGGTATGGAGGTCAGGTGCGGAGCTGCCAGGATGCCATGGCGTAAGAGTGCAAGGCACTCCCTACCCACTCAAGGGCTAGGCTACGCCAGGGCACTGTCGCCATAGCTCTCACACAGCTATGGTGCCTGGCAGGGTAGGCGCCTCGTAGAAAAGATCAGCGTCCACATACCCCGACGTTGCGTCCTACACAGCCGCGGCTGACGACCGGGCGCCGCCTCCGCCGCTATCGCCGCTTCGTTAGCGCACATTTCACACGGCCCCCACCTCACCCTTTTTACAGAGCTTCAAATTGATTTTTTTGGGAAAGCAGTGGCTTTACTTAGGAAGGGACGCTGAACCCGGTTTTCAGCTAGCCTAATCTGGGTAATGGCCCCAGGATAACTCCGGGTGGAATTGTGAGGTCCCCAGCCTGCCTTGGTTCCCTATTTTGCAATATAAAGCTCATCTGTTTTTCCCAAAAAAAAAAAAAAAAAAAAAAAAAGGAGAAGGAGAAAAAAATAAATAAATAAATAAAAATCCTCCATATGAGACGCATAAAAAAAAATTCTCCATGTGAGACGCCATAATAACGAAAATACACTTCAATGCACTACTCTCCATATGCAAAAAGAGACAGCCTCCTGTCGGACATTCTCGCCCTGCACTGTCCCCGACACCTCTCACGAGTCACAACCATTTAAAAAAAAAACGAAAAAACAAACAAACAAAACTTAGAAAAGACAAAAGATATGGCCGAGTATCTGTCTATTTTCTAGCAAAAAGATTCATTCTCGTTTTGCACTTTTGGCGAGTAGTGGAGGGAGGCCCTTTATATCCTGATTTATCATTGAAGTCATGATCCCCATTTTTTTTTGCATTGAACGGAATTTTCGTTATTATGGCGTAATCTGGGCTACCTGCCGTGCCATCCGGGTCCCCAAAGCAGGCACGGGACCTGCCTGGGACGACCGGGCGGGCAACTTGGCCTGGCGGGGTCCCGGCCCATATCCCACCCAAAAAAAAAAAAAAAAAAAAAATCAATTTTTTTTTGAAAAAAAAGTATGTTGTGCAGAATAGCAAACCAAACAACTTTTGGCTGAGGGTCACTTCCAAATTCAACACAGAATTTGAAATAAACATAAAATAATGTAAGAAAAATCATCTCCCAGACTCACACCCTTTAAAGGCCTTTCAACCCCTTTCAAGCCCCCTTTAAGGCACTTAACCCCCCCCTGACCCTCCAAAACTGGCATGCACCAAAAAAAAATGTAAGGCCGGATTTGGGTCCCTCTAGGAGGGCACACAGATGCAAAAAAAAAAGAAAAAAAAATTGACTGTTTTTCTAGTCGCACTGGCGTGTGTGTCTGGTAGCCCAGGGTGTAATAGTAAAAGTACTCAAGGAGCCAAAGGTGAAATCAGCACAGAATCCCACCGGTAGGTCCAAGCCTCTTCCTCCCGTGCGACATGAACGGAGAGCATGTGTGGCGGGCGATGGCATCGAGGGACACCCCACATAGTAGAGACACATACTCTCCTATTGGTGGGGAGTTGCACCCGCTGACATGCCAACAGGAAAGGGGGCATGTCAAGCATGCTCGCAGTTATTCAAGCATGCCATATCAAGGCCACAAGGGCATATCGGGCACCTGCTAAGGGGGTGGGGGGCGGGTTAGCGGTATGAATGCAAGACAAAGGCGGTCTGAGTGCTAAATAGATGGCATGCCAGGACCGATCCTCTTGGCAGACGGTGGTAATGGCCATCAGTTCATCGTGGTCGGAGCAGAGATTATTTTGTGCACATGCTAAACGGACAGGCACAGCACAGAGCCTCTTAAGGACCGCTCTCAACAGCAGTGGCATAATCCATCTGACATGCAAAGGAAAGAGACGCAGCCTGACCAGGTAGAGGGAATGGGGAGGGTCGGCCAGATTGCTCTCTGGAAGAGACAGAGCTTGCAACTGTGCATCCCCACCACACGGTTGGCGATTGAAGAAATAGACCGCTTGGGAACAGCCACTCACTGGCACTCGGTGATAGAGGAAGGGGTATATGACCCACCGCCGAGTGCACCCTACCTCATTTGTCCCACACAGTACACGAATTAATCTGGGAAGCTACCCCCTTCTCCCGAATAGTACGCCTGGTCATCATTATAGCTGCGTTTAGACTCGAAGATACCCCCCAAGTACAGCTATGACAACATTATGGTCATCATTAGCTGAATTTAGACTCGAATATACCCCGAGTACGGCGATGACGACATCATGGTCATCATTATAGCTGAATTTAGACTGGAAGATACCCCAAGTACAGCTATGATTACACTACTTCGTATTCAGGAGAAGAAGGGTAGTAATTCCATCCTTAGGTCAAGTAGATTTTCTAGTAGTTCCTTGAAGCTTTTTGAACGTACTTGTTATGGGACGCTGGGCCCGGTTCCCAGTTTGTGCCAATTTGTGAGGATATGGATGTATGTATGGGACGCTGGACCCGGTTTCCAGCAGGTGCTGCTCCCCACCAATAGACGGAGCTTGGGTTAAAAAAAAATATATATATATATATATATATAGAACTTTTTTGTCTGTTTGTCTGTTGTGTAGGAAGTGAAAGTGGTGG